TTTTCGGCGATCAAGTGCAACGGGCTGTACATCTTCTACAAATTGTGGAGTGCGGCAAAGATCCTCGACGTCACCAAGGAAGAAATGAAGCTATTGGTCAGCGAACGCAAGCATCCAGTGGGGGACATCGTTAAACAGATGCTTCTCTCTGGCATTCAACTGCAAGTACATATCCTTCGCGAGGACCGGGCTGAACCTTGGTAAACATGGGTACGAGGTTGACGTGAGCGCTATTATTGCAGCCACGGACCCGGGCAAGTGTGACGGACCGCTGCTTCACTGGTGCGTCCGGAAAGGACATTGGCTTGCGGACGAGCGCGACAAGAAGTATGTCCGAGCCCGGGACGCCCAACGCAACTTGGACGAAGAATTCCGTCGTCGTATCACTAGGCTGGCCATTGTGGACCGACCCATGTGATGCAGAGGTGGATCACCGTTGCTTTTGCGGCATGGTGCGGGCCAGTCCCCATCCATTGCCAGCAACATGTTGATTTCACTACGATGGAATGAATTGCGATGTGGAGTAACTTCGTTTGTCCAAGGAACGTGCCTATGTATATATATATATATATTCCGACGACTATGGCTTCCCGGATATTCATGGATGGAAACTATTACCGTATGGATGCTTTCATTTCCTTGTATTATTCGTGGTGTCCGGGATGGCTATCTTTTGCATATATTGTTCGCCAATTCCTTTGCCGGTGATACGCAGATGGCTTTTGGCCATGCGCAATTGTGAAGTTCTTTGGCCAACCCATTTCGGTGGATGACAGCTGCGTGATGCGCAAATACGGCAGCTGGGATCTTCAACGACTGCGTTGTGGTACGAGGTATAATGCCTCATGCCTCTGTGTATAGGAGTGTACTGTGGTCTGCGGATGCACGAGTTTGGATTTAATCGCACCCGGCTGAGTTTCACAAAGAATAGATGGCGTTACAATTGAGCATGAAAGAGTATTTCGACACAGTTTCGTAGTCCGAGCCGTGGCCATTGGGATGTTTGGACCGCATGATGAACAGTGCGACCCAAATGGGGGATGTTAAAACCCTCCTGGCCCCGTGCCTAAATTGGGAAGCCGTTCTGAGGTCCATGTTCTCTTTGGTTCAAATGTTCCGATGGATGCCACAATTTGGCTCAAGACTCAAGTAGGGCTTATGGTCTTGCATGGACTTGCATATACCTGTGTTCGATCCGAGTGAGAAGAAACAGGTGCGATCGCGCTGCAGATCTCGAACTTGTGTGGTTATCGAGGAACATCCTTACACATTTTACACTGGTTTGGCTGTATCGGTTTAGCCGTATATCTTCACCGCGTGATTGAGTAACATTCAGCTGGAAGCTTGGTGGACAGCGTCCCACGGAACGTCATCTTGCGCTCTTGACACCAAGTTTGCCCAAATGTTCTTGGAGCTCAGCCTGGGTTGCTCAACACATGTCGTAAGATGAAGAAAATCCAAGTCATTGCCCAGGCCTCCCCGAAAATGACTTAGGCAAATGCAAGTATGCCATGATCAAGGCCTCCCCGCAAATCAGGTGAAACCGTGAAACCCTGATTTAAGCTAAGCAGAATCATTTTCTTGGCCTCCGGAAAAATCAGAGCAAGTCATGTAAACTTTCATATGTTTGCATTTCTTTCATGCTTTTTGCATTTTTGGTATTGACAACCCTACTGGTCGAAGCTCTACTGATCCACCCGCGATTTTTTGAAGTTAGTCATAGATGCATGGATCGATAGACGGATAGACAGACAGATGTATTTATCAAAGGAAGTTTAGAAGGAACTTCCGTGTTACGGGTACTAATTGAAAGTATCTTGCGCAAAGATGAGATATAGAAAGAATAGATGCGTGCGAGAAACAATGCGCAGGCGTCTGGCGGGGGAATAGAAATCGCAAAAAGAGCAACCCTCTGCGGGTTTTGGCTTCTGCGGCTGGCTGAAAGCTGCCTTGGTCGCGACGCCTGCCTGGCCACGGTCTCGGAGCGGTCTCAGAGCGGGCTCGGAGCGGTCTCGGAGCGGGCTCGGAGCGGGGCCCATTGGCACGGACGCGCGCGCTGTTTCGCAGCCTTGAAACGGTGAACCCTCTGCGGACTTTCATGGGGTCGACCTGCAAAAACAAAAGCTCGAGGTTCTTTTACGATTTTGGGCGTGCACAAGCATCAAATGGTGAACCCTCTGCGGAGACTCGCTGGGTCGACTTCAAAAACTCGTGGTTTTTTGCGTTTTTCATCTTAGAAGGACAAAAAGATAGATAGCCAGATAGGTAGCACAGAAACCTAGAAAGATAGGTAGACAGCTGGAAAAGATGGATATGTAGGTAGATAGATAGATAGATAGATAGCTCAGAAAGAAAGAAAGATAGATAGAACAAATAGATCGAGAAATTAGTATGTGCGGAGAAGCCAGCGGGCGCAGCCGCCACTCACGTGGGTGAACATCATAACGAGCTTGCCATTACGGGCGGCTCTGAGATGATAGTGATAGGTAGCTAAATAATAACTAAGAAGTGTACTTTGCCTTGCTGCGCTTGTATTGAGAATTTGCGATTTCCGAGCTGGCTTGCGATTTGGAGCTGCAGCTGCGGAAGCTCGCTTGCGTGCTACACTTGCGCTCAATAGTTCCTCCTTTCGTGTGGAAATGTACTTCGCGTGCTACACTTGTACTGAAGAGTAGCGATTTCGTGCTGGGGCTGCGAACGTGTACTTCGGTTGCTACACGTGTGCTGGAAAGCTGCGATTTTCGAGTTTGCTCTCCCAATATGAAACAACAATGTAAACGATGTCGAACAAACAGCAGTAAAACAAGTTTTGGCACTTTTATGTTGCTGGCGTAGTTGCTGCATTTGTTTTCCGCTTGGGATACTCTTGGCAAGTCGGCACCGGGGAAGCTCTGCGATCAAGCTGTGCCAGGGGGAGGACACAGTTGCCGACAAGGACTTGATTTGCCCGACTGTGCCACTAATTTGGGTATTGATCTCAAAGCAGATACGGCAAGGACCCCTATGCTGATTTGGAGCCTGCCCTGAAGGCTGGATGCCTTGTTGGCCTCTGCAAAGAGTGCTTTTATCCATCGGGAGGTGCATGCGGCAGCGTGCAACAATGACATCAAGATGCTGGAGAAGCTTGCAGAGGCGATGGGTGAGTTTCAGACAAGGGCACACTTGGAAGGTGCTTGAGACTGTCTAGCCTTTGCCATCTTTGTTTGGTGGCATTTGTATCCTGTGTGCTTTGACGTTTCTGTATGCATGCAACCGCCACATCAATCTCGTATCAGCACGCTTGCGCTCAAACAATGCTGCCATTCAGCGTTTGTTTTCTTCAGGCTTACGATTTGGAGGCAATTATGAGGATCTTTCTGAAAATCCGTCTCTATGTAGACATGTTTTTGGTCCGTGAAAGCATTTCTCGCATTGCAAGCCGCGCCGGATATATATTTCTTACACTCTTGCGGAAATTGAAGTCTATTTTATGCCGATGATAATAGCGACGATGATGAGGACCCCAGCAGAAACTAGGCTAATGATGATGATATGATGCCGATGACAATGATAATGATGAGGACCCCAGATCATGACCACCACCCTTCCCGTGCGCCTCGCGCTTGCAGACAAGGGGTCGGCGGATTTTTTGAAATCTGGTATTGAACATCACGGATTCTCTTTTGCAACCCAATCATCCTGATCCGTTGATTGTTATGCTCCATTCGTTGGCTGCCATCAGCTGACGGAGCATGCTGCCATTGCTTTGATCAGGCGGGCGTTGACTTCAACACTCCCCGCCCGCAGGCTGGCATGATTTTTGTAACCTGTCTTGGCATTCCGCGTGTTGGGAAGGACGGCTACTATGCACTTGATGCGTGCGCATGGTGACAGCCTTGGATGAAGCGTGAGCATGAGGTGCTGTTGCGGCAAGCTCAGGTCAGGCAACTTTGACTCCATAAACATGCTGATTCGACATGGAGCAGATGCCTCGATCACTTTGCAGGCCACCTGCTTCTGTTCTGGGCATGCTCAAGTGCAGGCTGTCCTTGATTCCTCCGCTTGGTAAGTGCTTGGCAATGACAGCTGCTGATTTGTAGCGTCTGGGCTTACTCTATCTAATCTTCTCTTGTACATGTGCTTCATGCATCCAGCTGGCTCTAGACACGTGCCATGTGCATCAGGCATGACCAAGGAGTGCTGCGCAAGAATATGTGACAGCAAACATGTCGGGCCTTATGCTGAGACAAGTGTACAAACTCCCCATGCCTTGCTAGCATGCTTGACCACCTTCGAAGCCAGCCCTGCTCCAAATTGCCATTCCTTTTCGCCGCACCCTGGCAGGATGCGATAGATTTAGCTGGTGATGAGTCTGAAAGCTTTGACTACTTGCCGTATGACCGGCCCTTCAAATCGATCATACAGCTTGCAGCTTCAACTTTCAATCTTGCATTTCGAGTTTACATCGAACAGAAGAGCCAGGCGGCATATGGAACAAATTGGAATGTGTTGGACTGACTGAGCTCAGAATTGGGCTGCGGAATCTACATGCGCTGCCGCATCCCCTGACTCTTTTGCATCGACTTCTTCCTTTGGCCGCGCAGGCTGTGGTCGGCGCAGCTTCCTGGGGGAGTCCTGAAATGTTGGAGGCTGAAGTCCGGGCCCGAAGAGATGCTTTTTGGCCAGACTCACTAGGATATCAACGAATGAACAGCACTGCCTGTGGATCGAAGCATGATCTTGTATTGTGTGGGCAGTTATCATAGTCTTGTCTCAGTTTATCTTGAGCACTTGTGGATCTTGTGGGAAGTAGCAGACAGGCGAACAGATTTCCAACCGGCAAGCTTCAAATTTCCACGCGAGGCTTGTTGCTGCCACGAGGGGTTTCTTTGCTTCCTTGATATTTCACTGTGTGCATTCTCCAGGCACTCATCAGTGCTGGTGGCCCGATAAACCAGGCAGGTGGCTTGGGAATCGGTGTGTCTGAGTGCGGGGGATGAGTTCCCATGCCGCCTTGGCAGGAGCTTTGTTCAGAGAGTGCGCTACGCTGGGCGGTGCAGTTTGGCCATGAGGACCAAGCAGAGACCACATCATTATGTTGCAGCCAAGCTGTGACAGGACTGTGCAATCCTGTTGGTTAAGAAGGCCCGCTTCCAGGAAGTGAACAAAAATGAGAAGGACAAACTCGGGGCACACCTTGTCAATCAAACCGCTTTAACATCGGTCCCTTTCACTTTTTCGTTTGTGTTTATGTGCAACTGTGCAGTCGTCCATCTCCAAGGGCTCCAACTTGTTTTGACACTTCATGCGTTCGGCACGTTCGGCGCGTTCGGCGTGGTCGGCGCGTTCGGCGTGGTCGGCGCACATGTTGCCACTTGCGGGTGCTGACGCAGGGCGCGTGGAAGCTGGAGCCCAACCAGGCCCGACGGGGTCGCAAGCCGCAGCATGCCGTAGCTTTCAAGGCTGCAAACATCTCGAAACCAAAGAGCTACCCTTTTAGGTACGGTTTTTTTTTTTCAAAAGGGGGCAGGGTGACAGTGAGCTTATGGGGTTGCCCAGGATACGCTCTCAAAGGGTACGTGAGACATAAGTACTTGACAGAGAGCTTGCATCGGCTCGCCAAGTTTGGCAGGAAATTCTCCTTCTGCGGGCCAAAGGCCCTTTTGATGCAGGGAGATTGGAGAAACGTCGGAGCATCTTTTGGCAGTGTTGCTGAACGAGAGCATGTGGCAAGCAAATTGAAGCAGCATAAAAGTGATTTGATGGGCTTGAGTCCGGCTTGAGGGGTGAGTTTGATGAATACTGATGGACAGCTTGACTGAAGCCACTGTGCCAAGGCAAGAGGATGCGCCAGCTATTGGAGTGCATTGCGCAGCTTGATCCCGACCGCGCTGCAGATTGCGTCGTTCCACCATGCTGGAAGACCCTTGGTCGTCATACTTGAGAATCCCAAATCAAAAATTTGTGCTCCAGGAATTTGATATCAAGCCTTCATGCTGCTCAGTTAGAACGTACTTTCAACAGCTGCAAGGTTGAATCTAAACCTGGGTCACTTTAGCGCGCCACAGCCGTGTGAGGCAGACTTGCAAAGCACACGGTATGCCATCCAAGGACATGTCAAATTATGTGAATTCAGTAGCACTGCCTATTTTCCACCTCACCAGTCGCCAGGCTGTAAGGTACAAAGCATTGCCATCATGAAAGGTTTCACCACGTTTTTCGATGCCAAGCGTACAGGTGCTCAAGCACTTCCAAAATTGGCTGAGCGATTTCTTTGTGTGCTCTCCAGGGGACAGGCATCATTTTTAGAGGGCCCGCAGAAAGTGCGGCGTTTCGGAATCTTGGCGCGGGAGTGGAGACGTGGGACAAGTTTTGGAGCAGTGCGGCGGGGGGGGCCGAGTGTGTGTGTTTAGGTTCTTTTTCTCTGCACGCGTCGCCAGGATTCGGCGGTTTCGCCGCGGGCTTCGCGGCGGGTGCCGCTGCAGCTGCGGCGGGCCGGGGGGAAGCCGTGCCGCAAGGCCCGGTGGTCGGGGAAGCCGAGCGGTGCGGTCGCAGCCTCCAAGGAGACAACAAAACACGGCATTTCTTTGTGCATGCAACTGGTGACTACTGCTTCCTCTACTGCTACTGCTACTATTAACAACAACTACTACTACTACTGCTGCTGCTGCTGCTCCTACTACTACTACTACTACTACTACTACTACTACTACTACTACTACTACTACTACTACTATAGCTACTAGTGTTAGACTACTGCTACCACTACCACTACTGCTACTACTGCTACTACTACTACTACTGCCGCTACGACGACTACTACTGCAATAACAACAGCAACAACAACAACTACTACTACTACTTCTAGTGCTGCTACTACTACTTCTACTACTACTACTACTACTACTACTACTACTACTACTACTACTACTACTACCGCTAACAATACCACTGCCACTACCGCTACCACTACCGCTTCCACGACAGCTACCGCTTTTACTGTGTCGACTTCTCGTACTATGTTAGTACTAGAGCTAGAGGCTACTACAACTAGTACTACGACTAGCACACTACGACTACAACTGTGACTACAACTGCCGCTACGACTACTTCTACATACCCTTACCGCCACTACCGCTACCACGACTGCTACCACTTCCGCCACCCCTGCAAATACCACTTCCATTGCCACCGCCACTACCACTGCAACGACAACTGCCACCACTGCTGCCGCCGCTACCACTGGCGCTGCCAGGCACTGCCACTTCCACTTCTGCAACTGCTAGTTGCTGTTGCTGCTGCTGCTACTGCTGCTGCTGCTGTTCTTCTGTTCGGCTACCACAATCTGCTACCGCTACTGCGACGACTTCCACTCTTGCTACTTTCCTCTGCAAACGCGCTTTCGCGTAGCCCCCGCTTAGCTGCCAGGTATCCAATTTCCTTGAAACAAAACACTGCTCAAATGGTCCGTCATTTCATCAGCCCACAGACCAGATAAGATCAGATAGTTCCCATGAGGATGTACCGTGTTTGGTGCTAGGCGGCGTCGCTGGCTTCTCCTCGTGGCTTTTGATGATGGCGCAGAGCCTTTTCGATGTGGAGCGCTTATATACACAGCTGGCTTGCTGTGGAGCAGCTCAACTGTGCTGACCACAAAAGCGGATGTCAAGCCAGCACATTAAGCATTTTGAGTAAGACTCATTCCTGCTGATTCCTCTCACGCGCAACGTTTTCCTACGGATTCGTTGCAGGTGAGCACTGATGATGTCGTGCGCCGTCTGAAGCTGATCGTGCAACGCACTAAGTCCAACTTTAGCCGTACTGGCAGATGGAGGTTTTGAGAGGCTTTGCTGAGCAATCCTTACCAGGCCATATCCAGCACCAGATGGCTCCGCTGCAGAGGACACACACACAGAGCTTTACGGGCTGATTAGAATGTTTGCATGTTGAAATTGCGGGCTGCCTCAGCTCAACTCTGGTGCGGTTCGAGGAGCTCCGTGCACGACCAGACTTTTACGGCTGGGAGGCTGAGATGGTTCAGCGCGCTGCGTGTGTCCCCGGACCCTCGGCAAGCAGCGTTGACAGATCGACAGATCTCGGTTCCGAGGCCCTTTCTGGGTTGCCACCACAGCAGTCCTCTTCCTGGCCGCCACCGGGAATTTTGCTAGGCAGAGTCCAACTGCATGCGTTGGGTTTCCCTTCTTGGACACTGAGGCTGATTGAATCTCCACATCCCAGCCTCTTCAAGGCAATGAATTTTCAATCACTTGAAGATTAGCCTCATCAGCCTGTGTGCTCCAGGCGGACTATAGCTTGGTGCCTTTGGCTGCCAGCATCATCTACGGGACTCAGACTCAGCGTGCAGACGCTTCAGCTAAGGGCCACGTTCCGTATTTCTAAGGGGCCTTATTGCAGTACCTCTGCTCGCGCGAGTGCCGCCTGCCCAGTCAATGCAACCCGTTCAAGTCGACTCCATGGCAACTCATCGAAGTCTTCGAGAAGCAAAGTTGTGTTTCCGACGTTTGCTTGGCCTCGTGAGAACGGCACAGGTCTGTATTCTTCACAGATGAAGAGGCGTGACTCGAGCATCATGACAACATGCCACGACAGTATACGCTGCAGTCTACTATCCGACATTGGCATTGTCCCTCATGTGCAAATACGTGGCCAGTTGCACGACACTGCCGCGAGAGCACTGCCCCATTTGCTTCATTGCTCGCTTCAGAGTAAAGGTGGCCAACATCGACTTCAAGAAGATTGTTTGCGTGTGTGGGCAGCTGGCCCACACCAGGGCTGGGCTGGAGATGCCGTCAGTGAGTCGTGCCGAGGTATGGCCTTGCACCTGCAATACCTGTGTGGCGCACCTATCCATTGCGCGCAATATTTGTTGCACAGTGCACCATCGCGCTGCACGACAAGGTCCATACTGTGCATCATTCCGGTTGGGTTCCTACGATGGCTCTTCGTAATGGGAGGTCGTTGCCTCAGCCATTGGAAGAGAAGCCACCATTGGAAGGGAAGACATCCTCAGGTCTTGCGCTGTCGCTCCTTTTCCTGAAGTCGAACTTGCTTCAGGAGATTTCAGTCAAGGTGTGGGATCCTGAGGTGGCTACTTGCTTTGCTCAAAGCGCACAGCCCTAGCGTGTCCATCGGCCGTTTCTCATGTCCACGTTGCTCGAGCTGCGCATTGGCCTATTCATCTTATGTTTGCTTCGACCGCATCCTGCCTTGGAAACTTTAGAGCCTCCGGCTCAGTCCGCCGACATTGTTTTCTCCCTTTTCTCCTTCTTCCTCTCTCTCTTGTTTCCTCCCCCGTGTGTTCTGTCGTCCTCTCTCCCTCCCTCTGCTCGCCATCCTCCCCATCTCTCTCCTCAATCTCCCTCTCTCTGTCTCTCTCTCTCTCTCTCTCTCTCTGTTTCTCCGTCTCTTTCTGTCTCCCTGTCTCCTTCCTGTCCACGCCCCTCTACAGAAAAAAAGGTACCCTGATTCTAACCTTTCTACTGGAGGACCTAGTCTCGCTCTCTCTCTCTCTCTCTGTCTCTCTCTCTCTCTCTCTGTCTCTCTCTCTCTGTCTCTCTCTCTCTCTCTCTCTGTCTCTCTCTCTCTCTCTCTGTCTGTCTCTGTCTTTCTCTGACTCTGGTTCTGTCTCTGTCTGTCTCTCTCTCTCTCGCTCTCTCTCTCTCTCTCTCTCTTTCTCGCTCTCTGTGTCTCTCTCTCTCTCTCCCGCTCTCTCCCTGTCTCTCTCTCTCTCTCTCTGCATTGCAGCGTCACGTCCCCCCTGAGTTGCCTCGATGTCCGGGCACTGCCCCTTTAGGACCCTGAACTGTCTGCCTACTACTGGTTTTCCTCTTGATTTCCCCTTCATGTCCTTTTCACGTTTCCCATGATGTCCTGGTCATGTCCCTTCCATTCCTTTCAACTCCCCCTTCATGTCCCTGTCATTTTCTCGGTATGCCCGCTTCCTTTTCCATGTATGTCCCGTTCCTTCGTTGCCAGTCAGTTCCCGACATCTCCCGTCGTGCCGATTGGTTTCCTTGTCCTTTGTTTCCCTTTCATTTTTTCTGCACTCTTCTTGTTTTCATTTCTGTCCCTTTCATGTCCCTTTCAGTTCCTCTTTGTTTCCCTTTCATTTCCCCTTGCTTTCCTGTCAGGTCGACTTCCTATTTCCTCCCCTCATTTCCTTGCATTTCCTTGCATTTCCCCTTTGCTCCCCAGTATTTCCCGCAAAAAAAACACTGTTTTTCCAGCGTTTTCGCAAAGAGGACGTCAAAACACACAGAGTTTTCCAGATTTTCGGCAAAAGGAGGCAGGAAATCCAAACCAGAAAAGAGCCGGCAGGGGGATTCGAGCCTGGCGTTTTGTGGAACGTCATCAAATTACCGCGCGGTACGTGGGGCAACCCCCCCCTAAACCCTACTTATCAGACGTCGGGCGGGGGGTTAGGGGGGTGGGTTATCCTCTATTCTCTCTTAGGTATCCGACACGCCTCCGCAATGTCGGCGCGACGGATACATGTCAGACCTGCTCAGGAAGGCGAGCGCAAACAGTTGAAACATCAGCGCCCTATGTTCGCTGAAAGAGACCCTGAGCAATACCCCAACGTAGCCCTGCGGCGACCAGTTCCCGTAGAGCTCGAAACCGTCTTCGCGCATAATGGGTTCTAGCGACTCACACTCCAACGGTGCAACCCACTGTCAAAGTGCAAGGCACTTGAGAAAGCAATGACAGTGATGTGGATGCTGTCAAAACAAAGATATTGTCGCTTGCAGATGTTCCACGCGTTGCTGAAGCTGCGCTCGTGTGCTCACGCGTGCCAACGTGTGAGAGCAACTTCACTGCGTGCTCTACGTATCGTGCGGCGCCAGCATAAACGCAGTCAACAGGTGCACACACACAGAAACAGAAATCGAGGGGTAAGTCAAAGCAAACAGCAGAGGGCTGGCTCACCCTGGCCTGGACGATAGCATTTGCAGCAGAAGTTGATATCCACCTCAATGTTTGCAGTCCGGACAGCTTTGGATGTGCACAAGTGCCAAGTGCAGCGAGCTCGTTTGCAAGGCGATGGCTGCAACTGACGCTGCTGGCGTCTCCAGTTCTTCTGCAGGCGAAGGGAAAGTGAGTTGCATTTGCATCGCTTGGTTTGCGGCTGCGGAAAGGTACTGGTATTCTTCGTCTACCGGGTACGCTTCTTCGCGGGTGACAGAGACTGAATGCGAGCCAAGAAAGGGTCGGAAGATCAAAGAGGCACAAATTTGTCTTGAGCGCTCCCGCAAGCTTTCCAGAAACATGCAACGTTTACACGGTCTGAAGGAATCAAGCATTTTGAAACACAAGAACGCAGCATGAATGAGACAGAGGGCAGAGAGCTTGTTGAATCCGGAGCTAATACAGCTGCAGAAGGAGGCAGTGACAGACGCTGGCTTGCCGACGCGAAAAGAAAGGGAGCACTGGCCGTCAAAGTCGAGCGCCATCAAAGTCATTTGCATTTCTTTTGCGGCATTTGCTGTTTCTTCTTGCTTCAGAGGACAACACAGGCTACTTTGGCGCGGTTTGATGTGGCATTGGCGTCGAGAGATGCTGTCAATGACAGCCTTACTCACGTACCGGCGTTTTGCATGCCAGATGATGTGCACCCCAGCCCAAACCCCCCACCCCAGCCCACTCAAGCACCACAGGCCATCCATCCGACAGCAATAAGACTTGGACTTGACAGACTTGACCACAGGGCAAGCATTTCTTAGACCCACAGACTGAAGCTTCACGCCGTTGGGTCTGGTTTCGCCATCGCCATGCCACGGCGTGGACGCTCCAGCGGCAGTCGCCGCCGTGCCCGTCGTCGGGGCTCCTCGACGCGGAGGCTGGGCAGTATCAATCGAAGTGAGGCAGTAAAAAAGCGCACCGTCGTTGTCTTTGGAATTTTGCTTCCCCGTTTGGGAAACTGGTCTTAAGTTCTGTTTGGGATACTTGAGGTGTCCTGAGGTAGCCAGTTGGGACTTGCAACTATCCTGTTTCTGTGTTTCATTTGCGACCTGCAAGGCAGAGCCGGAGATCTCGCAGCCGCGTTAGAACGCTGCCACCTGAGTTCAGATGTATAGAATTTTAAGGGAAGAAACACCTGTCCTGAAGACAGCTTGGTGACGTGCAGACCGCGTGTCCTACTTCCTTGCCTTGCACAAGGAACCGTCGCAAACGCCAGCGCGAGAAGAGCTCTTCTGAGCGGCCCCCAAGCTGCAAGCCGTGAGCTTTGATGACATGTCTGACTTGTCTGATTTCGAAAACAATCAAAGTTCGATGTTCGACTCTGGCCACCTGCGTCTCTGGCCTGCTTCAGGAAGGGCGACACAGGCTCTTGGGAATGCAACAACTCCCTTGAGTTCCCCCCAAACGCCAATCTTCGATGCACGCAGGCAAGAAACAGGAAGGAAAGAAGAAGGCAAAAAAAGTGGCTTTCCCAGGGGATGTGCAATGCACGCATCAAGAGCAGGTGTATTAGCAATCTCTGGTGTTTAGTCACCACCTCGAGTGACTCAGGCCGAGAAGGCAAACAAGCCAGACAAAGAGAAGGACAAGGCGGAGAAGCCTGACAAGTCCCAAGCCGAGAAGGCAAAATCCGACAAGTCAGAGAAGCCCGACAAGTCAGAAAAGCGCGAGAAGTCTGAGAAGGCTTCAACGGCCGAGAAGCCCAGCAAGACCGAAAAGGCCGACTCTGACAAGGCGGGCACGCTTTTGTGGAGGCTTCCGCATGCAACTCCGTGCAGGCTGTCAAGGCAGAGAAGACAAAGTCTGATAAGGACTGAGAGCGCAATTCTATTATGGGCTATGCTTTGGATTGGTATCCCGGTGTCCTTCTCGTTTTTGCACTGTGATGGCAGGCTGAGAAGCAGAACAAAGCAGGCAAGGCAGACAAGGCGGAGAAGGCTGCCGAGCGGCATGAGCGTTCACACTTCAATGACACAGATAGCTGTGCTGGAATGCTATGCTGTTCTGCAGTCCAAGTCGAAGAAGACAAAGGATGACAAGTCTGAGAAGAAAGGAGCTTTGCCTGGAAGCCTGCCGCTTCGGCAGACCAAGCCTTCTGTCGCCATACTCACAGGAGCAGAGGAGAGAGAAAAGGCAAGCAAGAGCCAGAGCAAGAAGAAGGCCCTGGAAACAAATCGAAACTTCGCATGTCAGCCCTCTGCCCAACATTTGCAGAGCGCTGGTCTTGATGGTGCTTGGAGATGTGACGTGCCAGGAAGCAGCGGCCAAAGCAGATGCCAAGAAAAAACTGCCAAAGGCGAGGCAATCAAACTCAGTACAGCACACGCGAGTTGCATTTGGTACATCATGTTGAATCTAGGCAAAGAAAGACAAGCAATCCTCTAGTTCGGACAGCTCGTACTCGTATTCCTCATCCAGCAGCTTGGCCAAGGTTTTCATCAACGAAGTTAAGTTTTGGTTTGCTATGTGGGCATGTTGGCTGTTACAGGAATGAACAGCGTTGTGTGTGTGTGTATGTGTGTCGGATTCGTGAAATTCTAGGCAGCGATGAAGATGAGGAGCAGCAGCAGCAACAGTACATGCTCCTTTGCGGCAAGGCTTAGCTGATTGCACAGATACGGTGAACGTAGAATTCTGCTGCTTGCTTTTGATGCTGCTGCCCCTTTGCAAGTCCTGGACAGTGCCCTTCTCGCAAGGAACGCCATGATGGCCTGGGGGATGCAGGTTTGCGGGTCAGTCGGCATGTGCTTTCAAGAGTTGTTGTCGCAGTTGATCGTTGCTGTCAAATTGCAGGCCGCTTGTTCGATTCTCGAACTCAAGTGCATGGCATCACGCAACATGTGTGTTGAACAGTAGCGGTAGAGAACAAATCAGGCAATGCGACAATCAAACTTTGGCAATTAGCGAAACAACTAGATGGTAATGCCAGGATCTAGCTTGATGCATCGACAATAAGCTAGCTCCACACTGCACCCCTCACACCATTGAGACTCGACCAGCGCCGTACTTTACCAGTGCCATAAGCTTATAGGATACATTCTGCTCCACAGCACTGCCTGGAAAGATTGCAATCATATTGTGCAACTGGATCATTTACCTTAACGACTCAATGCGCTTGGATTCAGGTACAAGCAACGCCCTGCAAATACCAGACGCACTGGGCTGCGTGCAACCGACATCATGGCGAAGCAAGTCATCCCACAGCACTGTGCAACAGCAAGCAAATCAGACTGCATTCGAAGTTCGTGTGCGCTTGCCTGCCCTCAAGCCAGTCGAGCAGCGGGCTGGCAAGTGGGCAAACAGGATTGCATGCACCACATTGACATTGTGGCGATGCAGTTGGTTTTTTTTTTCCTGAGGATAGTCACGACAGACAGCTCTTTGCTGCCAATGTTTGAGGAATGCGTGCAGGCTGCAGCCTAAGCTCGACAAACACGCATGGCAAGGAGACTGAGGTAAGCATGCATTGATCCATCCAATAGCTCGGGCACAGCAACACATCCTTCTCATACACCTGCGCAGATGGCTATTGTCAAAAAGTGTAGTAGCATTTCCAGCAGTGACCTGGCATGCAATGAATCGTCACATACCTGCTGCAAACGAAGCAAGCTTGTGTGATGTTGAAAGCCTCGCACAAGCTTAATGGACTGAGCGTAGCAGAAGAGTGCATCATTTGAGTTTGTAGCCTCTGCCTACTGTTGACCTGAGGGTTCCAGTTGAGATGGCATGTGGACCGATGCTAGTCTCAGAAAGCTGTTCTAGAGTCGCGGTCTCACTGCGCTCTCGTGGTGATTCTGCAGTCACTAATGAATTTCCTTGCCTCTCTGAATTCAGCATGCACAGGAAAGCCAGTCAAGTGTACTGAATGGTGCAATGGCTGAGCTTTGTAATCGGTGTTTAGCGTATGCAGATCAGCCCTGGGGCCCTGATGGTTGGTTCGTTGGATAGGTGATGCCAAATTGCCCTGACTGTCGATTTTTGCTTTGCCGTGTTTCATCAATCTGCCTGACACGTTCTGCAATTGTCCTTGGCAGTCCGGGCAGGCAGCATTCCCCTTTTCCTGCCCCTAGCCTCGCGTCAGACACAACATGCTGTTGTCGAGCAGGACTTCACAGGAGACGTGTCCAGAGCACGAGCACAAGAGCAGCTAGCCAACCAGCATTGTTCTTTCCATGACGCAGCTTCAAGCACATTCGGCGCGCTATCCCGCTGATGGCCGATCAGTTGGGCGTGCCTGGACGGGACAGGAGAGGGCGCGAGGATGTGCGAACTGCAGCGCATCCAGCTGCAATCTCCTGACAACACGGAACAGTACAATGCGAACATACACTAAAGCAAGGTTGCAATTAAGACCGGGGAATGGACCGCTCAGGCAAGCAGCTTCCCTGAGCAGAATCACTGGCACACACCCACACACACACACACAGCGCGCTAAGTTCGGGGCACAGATGCAAGCCTGGGACCGCGTCGCATAGGGCCAAGTCAAGCGAAGGGTAGTTTGGGGAGGGCACAGCGCCAGCCCAAGGCCAAAGGTAGCAACCGAGCAAGTTGATTGCGAGCCGCACATGTCGGCCCGTCGGCCCGTCGGCCCTTCGGCCCTTCGGCCTTCCGGCCACATGCGCTCCGTTGCGAGTGCAGGGAGCCATGCCCACGGCCATGGGCACCTCGCAGATGGGCATGGCTGGCTACGCGCAATACGCAGGTGCACATCGGAGGCAAGTTGTTAGGTTCTTTGCATCCCTGACAGGCCAATACCCAGGATACGGTACAACCTACGGCTACGATGCCTATGGGAGGCCGGAGCCAACGCCTGGATTGATAATGATTGATGGCTGGGAACAGCCCTGCTTCATGCTTTGGCTTGCTGTGCACCCCTGCCAGGCCGTACGGCTCCAGCATGGGCGAGGCAGCAGGCAGTCCTTGTCCGCAATGTCAGCTTTGGGCTGGAGCATTGCAAACTTGGGTCCCGCCTCCGTGGTTTGAAGCCTGATTCATTTCATGATAGAAGGTTCCAACTTGTTCGGGCCCCCGAAGGCTACCCGGCCGCGCCACCGCCGCCTCCGCCGATGGCAGCGCCGGGCGCACCCATGGCGGCGGCCTGGCAGATCCCGAGAAGCCGAGGGAGCGCCTTCCAAATGCTTTGTCTCTGGGTCGAACATCCCAGGGCAAAGTGTCAGAACGGGTTGATCACCATGTTGGGCGATGTTGGGATGGTTTTTAGGCTACGCCAGGAGCCGCTGCCATTTGAAAGTTTCGAACTGATTGAGCCAAATACGTTGAGGACTCCAGGGCCCCCAACCTCAATCGCTCCGTGTGCGTGTGTGTGTGTGTGAACCATTAGGCTTTGATTGCTGAGTTGGTCCCCCTCTTTGCGGGCCCAACAATCCGTAAGAAAACCACTGCAAGATCCGAGTAAGCAATTGAAACAGCAGAGCGACGTCATTTCCGGAATTGTGCAATTTGAGTATTGGTTTAGTATTGGTTGGCACATTTTAGAAATAAGTATTTCGGACCTTGTAATGTTTGGGGCACGTTTTGAAGTATTCGGGGGCCGAGTATTATTTTTGCTGAAATTAGTACTGGAAACTGATTGCAACTTTCAAAGTCCATGTTTTCAGAACTCTAACATCGTGAGTTCTCGAGAATTTGGTGTTGTCTTGTTTGTGTGATTAGCCACGTTTCCGGGTGTCATCCAGGCGGGAGCGTTGGCAACCACCCAGTGGCATTTGGCTCAAGATTACTGGTCCGTAGTGACCAATGCACTGGATGGCCGTCGGAACCTCACGTCGACAAGCTTCGAGACGGTGGAGAAAGGGACATCGGCCAGGGGTGGATTGGTGGGGACTCTTGGGTGGATCAGCGCCAGGTGTGGTCACGAGACTTAGCACTCTTTTGGTAACTTTGTTCCTTGTAGTTGTGTTGCTTGCTGGTACGTTGGAGCCGCTTGGCTATTCAGGTGATTCTTGTGGGGGCTTCTGCAACCACATTTCAACTTGCCCCTCGCAGGGCTAGCGCCAAACTCACAGGTTATCAGCCACAGGACTCCCCTACGTGCTCGCGACCTACATTGCCTACAAGCTTAGTGACGACTATTTCGACCCCAAGCGCAAGTGCGAGCGTCGGAGCGCGTCTCCTGGCGCAAAGCCGATGCAAGCTTGCTTGCCGGCAGAGCAGGCTGCCCCTAGATCGCCGAGGTCGAGTCCTTCCGTTAGGGAGTTGGGTGTGACGAATTGTCAGGTGGGGTGGGGCGTAAGTGAGCGGCGGACCAGTTATCCTTCCTGCGTGCGCAATATGCATTGATGATCTCACCCCAACGCGCGTGTCCGTCACGCGCAGAGGACGAACATGGTTGGAACACGTCCGTCTTTGACCAGGCTGACTCACAGCCCCAATAAACCGATAGCGAAGCGTGCCAGAACAGCAGCGCAAACTGTGGCAGGTCAGGCGTGACAATGCTATGGTATTTTCATGCGCCTGTGGATCTGGAGCGATGATAGAAGACATTGGGGCGGGCGCAAGAGAAATCTGACGAAATGGAGAGCAGATGGGAGATGGGGCAAGCGCATATTTCGCAGACGAAGAAGTTGCCAATAAAGGCAGCGCTGATTCCCATGGCTGTGGCCGCTCGGAAGGAAGCTGGCCACGAACCTTCGGAAGCTGCCAAGAATCTGACGGATTCTAATCGACCCCAAGAGCCGGCGTGAGCGGGCGTATGACAAGCCTGTTTTTGGAGGCCGCAGGAAGCCCGCGCGGTCGAGGCGGCCGACTGGCAAGGATTGTGGGCCTCCAGCGCAGTGTGTGTGGACGAGGGCCCAACGATCCAGATGGAAAAGCTGCTTCCGTTGGCAACCGGGCTGAGATCCCTCGAAGCTCGCGCGCAGTGTTTCAGGTCGCGGCGCGTGAGTTCATCCCCGGCTGCGGCAGGCGCGAGGGGCCATCCTAACGAGGTCCACGCCATGGAGTCGCAGGCGTAAGATTTGGGCGGGGCGAAGGTGTGGAGTTCTTCAAGGCCAGGCGTGGTAGAGGCTGAGATTACTCGCCCTGCTTCGTTCCGCCGCCAAATCAAGAGCGCGTGGTGCAGAGATGTTGGGCCCTCGAACAGACAAATGGCAACCTTCCGTCATGGAATGCGCATTACTGGTTATCTGAAACAGCGGTTGGACACTAGCCAAGCCCATGCATTCTGGAGAAACACTTGTTGCAATGACAGCCTTCGCGACGCGCGTGATCTAGCTGGTCGTGCTGCGGTTCTCGCGGTTGGTCGCGTTCAGGTTCACGGGGCTGTGGCGGGCTCGTGGAGTGTCAAGCCCGGCGCCTCGACTTTGGCTGCGGCTACATCCCAGTGGTGGCGGTGATGAAGTTTCTTACTCTTTGAGCCCCTGTGAGCTTGCTTTGAGCGCCTTACTCTGATAGGTGCGTGGCGGCGGAGGTCGGGTTTACTGGTCCTACTGCGCCTCGAGGCGGTCGGCCTGCGCGACGGAGACGCGCGGGTCTGGGGCTGCGGTAACTTTGCGCCACGTTTGCAAAAATCTTTGTCTAATTTGAAATCCGTTCGGACGGGTCTGTGCTTAAATTGATCTTTCGTGTTCTGCCTGAACTTCGTTCCGTTGCCGAAAAAAGCGGATTCAGGCTCGTGCCTTTGCGGGCGGCACGGCGCTCGTTTCTTACTCTCTGAGCTTCCATCTGACTCCGCGAAAGTGGCGCGAGAGTGCGGGGTCTTTCAAGCTGTTCACACATATATGTCGCGCGTGTTACTAGCGTCGCAAAGAAGGCCGATTGTCTGAAAGGGTGACGACGAACGACATTTACTTTCTACCTGTGGCCGACGCGAGTAAATCTCGCATATCTGAGGCACCGCAGTACTGGCCTGCGTGGTGCTGTCACGTGGCCTTTCTCATTTAGCTTTCGGCCCACGTTTCCCAGTTCGAGGTGGGCGATTTGAATGCCCGGGATGTTGTGGATGACAACCTCTCCGAGATCAATCCACCTATGATGCAGCGCTGCTTGTGGACGGATCTGAACTTTGATTCCTATCAGCTTGTGGCACGCCCCGTGAAAGACGGACTCCACGGTGTCATCTGGGAGGGAGCATTCGCGACCGACCGGCGGCATTTGGCTCGAGTTTGCTAGTTCGTCGTGGCCGCTGGATGACCGTCTCCCGAAGCATCCCGTCGGTTAGCTAGAAAGTCAGTGCAGAAAGGTGGGTCAAATTTGGTCACGGGACTTGGCGCTGTTTTGGTAACTGCTTTCGAGGTGGTTACGTTGGTTACTGATACCTTAAATTCTTGAAGCCGGGGATTGGTTGTTTGATGTTGTTTGGCTTATCTTGTTTGTGGTTCGTTCAGGCCCATTTTCCGCTTGCCCGGCTCAAGTCGCGCCGAAGTCACAGTTTGTGCAAAACAACGTGCGTCAACATTGGCAAATTCCGGGTATTTCCGATGCGGTAGTTTTTGCAAGGCTTCCAGCAGGACGCTTGTAGGAGGGACCCCATTCGTACCCACGAAGCACGCTTTTGTCCAGCGTTGGCCGCAGTCTCACACCCAGCCCATCGCCCTTGCAGGTCGGTGGGGCACCATACATGCACCTTGGAAATGATTCATAAAACAAATGCGTGATGCGCGTGGCAGCGTGTCCGACATTTGCAAGGGAAGGCAAACGGCAGAACGCACCAACTACTCTTTCGTGCCGTGCGCTCGCAGCTTGGTGCCTTTTGTTTCTCGAGTTGGCAAGCATAAGTCAGGAGTGGCCTTGGGGAGTACTCAGCTCAGGCAAGGCCCCATGACAGAGGAGCAGAGGTTGGCCGATGAGCGGGACAAGGCAGGGCTCAAGAACCTCTGATCTTCTGATGAAGATGTGATGCCAGGCGCGCAGGCGGCTAGAGGATGAGACCCGACTCCGAAACGAGGATTTGCTGCGCAAGGCAGAGGCTGATCCTTGGATTTTGATAGTCGAATCGTGACGGGCAAGTGGCCGAAGAGTGGTAGTGGGTGACTTTGGCCGATACCGGCATTCTCAGGAAAGAGCGGTTGCGACGGTCCGCAATGCGATCAGCAACTTGCAGAATGGACAGCCGCATGCTTGGAATTCAGCGTTGGTGTTTGGGTGGTGCAGTTCCCCTTGCAACAACCGTTAACTGAGGTCAGACTCTCTGGACTCTCTCCTCAAGGTTTGGGGTTCGTGTCGGTGGCAAGCTTGGGCAAGCGTGAAAGCTGTATACGAAGCCATGTCGCTGCAAACAAGCTGCTTGCTGTGCCTGCAGACCTTGGAGAATGTGGCCCAGAGAGACTTGCCGAAGTGTGGTGAGAAGCAAGTCGACGAACTCAAGCGTGACATGGCCAAGGCAGGGCTCGTATCCCTCAAGCCGCATTGAAAGCTCCACAATGGGTTACGTAAGTTATGAAGCTCCACAACGCCACGGACGAATCTTGGTTTGGGGAAGAGCCTGACCATTCTCAGCAAGACCGTGCCCAGGAACGGTGACAGCTTAATATGATTTCAGAACACATTTTCAGGCAAGACGGCTGTGCCAATAGAACTGCTGCACGAGGCTATTGCCGAGGCCTCCAAGCGACGTGATACCATTCGCGAGCTGAAAGCCATGGTCAGGACTCTTGCGCTTGTCATTGAGTTTCCAGTGAAGCCATCTCAGCATTTGCCCGAAGGAGTGGCGAAGAGCACATCAAGGCCTCACCCCGAAATCGTGCGACGGCAGTTGTTATTGCAGTCCTTAGATCTCTTTCTTGTCGCCTCTCAACCTCCTAAGCAAAAGGTGCAATCCAGTGACTGAAGTTGCATGAAGGCCTGACCGTTCTCAGCAAGACCTGCATGAATCAAGTTTAAGCTTGTGATTGAAGGCGTTCACGCGTGTTCCTGCGTGGGAGGCCACTGCAGAGCTGGTTCGGCAGAACCTAGCCTTGCAGAAGGCTCAAACAACATTGCGCATTCAACACTCTCAAGACCCACATCGCAGGAGAAGGATCGAGAGGACATGAACGATCAGTTGGAAAATGCTGGTCTCGAGGCTCTCGGCACAAGTTCCTGCTCGTGACATTAGCGAGCATTACCTGCCTGTCTAGGCAGAAGGGATGAGTGACCGATATCAGTCCTTTATGGAAGAGAGGGCAAAGGCCCATGAGGAGGGGGCGGGGTATGGGGTATGTTGCTGGGCAGCTGAGCGGACACAGCAATAAGAAACCCACGCAAGAGGATCCAGCAAGACCGTTGGACAACCATTGTGAGAACAACCTCGCTCGTACTTTCTTAGTCGCTTACTTACTTTCTCCCTCACATACTTTAATACTACTTACTACGTACTACTTACTACTTACTACTCACTGCTTACTACTTGCTACTCACTGCTTACTACTTGCTACTTACTACGTGCTACTTACTACTTGCTACTTACTACGTGCTACTTACTACTTACTACTTACTACTTACTACGTGCTACTTACTACTTGCTACTTGCTACTTGCTAGTTGCTACTTACTACTTACTACGTTCTACTTACTACTTACTACTGACTGCTCACTGCTTACTGCTTACTGAATACTACTTACTGCTCACTGCTTACTGCTCACTGCTCACTGCTTGCTGATCACCGCTCACAGCTCACTGCTTGCTGCTCACTGCTTACTGCTTACTGCTTGCAGCATGCTGCTTACGGCTCACTGCTCACTGCTTACTGCTCACTGCTCACTGCTTGCTGCTCAATGCTCACTACTTCCTGCTTACTTCCTGCTTACTGCTTGCTTCTTACTGCTTACTACTTACTACTTGGTACTTACTACTTACTGCTTACTAACTACTACTTACTTACCACTACTACCACTACTACTACTACTACGACTACTACTACTACTACTACTACTACTACTACTACTACTACTACTACTAACAACAACAACCACAACAACTACTACTACTACTGCTACTGCTACTACTACTACTACTACTACTACTACTACTACTACTACTACTACTACTACTACTACTACTACTACTACTACTACCTACCACTACTACTACCTACCACTACTACCACCACCACCACCACCACTATCACTACTACTACTACTACTACTACTACTGCTACTTCTACTTCTACTTCTACTTCTACTACTACTACGTAGGTAGCTAGCTGGCTGGCTGGCTAGCTAGCGAACTATCTATCTAACTACCAAACAAACAAACAAACTAACTAACTAGCTAACTAACTACTCACGACTAGCTACCGACTACTAACGACTAACTACTAAGTACTACAAGTACTAACTACTAAGTACTAAAAGTACTAACTACGAACTACAAAAACTAACTACTAACTGTGAACTACTAGCCAACTACTAACTAACTACTATCTAACTACCAACTAACTAGTACTAACAACAACAACAACTACTACTACTACTACGACTGCTACTGCTACTGCTACTGCTACTGCTACTGCTACTGCTACTACTATTGCTACTACTACTGCTACTACTACTGCTACTGCTACTGCTACTGCTACTACTACTATTACTACTACTACTACTACTACTACTACTACTACCACTACAAGTACTACTACCACCACCACCACCACCACTGCTGCTGCTGCTGCTTCCGCTGTTGCTACTGCTACTACCGTACCACTGCTACTTCTACTACTGCTACTGCTACTGCTACTGCTACTACTGCCTAGATGCCAATGGGACGGCCTTACGATTCAAGTTGCGCACGAGGCTAGTAGTCTTCTTTCGTTGCTTCAACCAGATTTGCCAGGACGATTTCTTGCGCCTGCTGTTGCTGGCGTGACTGCTAGTATAAGCTTGCAACACCTTCAAGATAGCACATAGAACATGGCTGCGTTTTGCAGGTTGCTCACTTGAATGTATTGTGTTAGAAGACATCAACCGCGTTTCCAGCCCCAAACTTTGGCATTTTCAGGATGCCAGGTTTTTGGAGGTGAATGAAGAGGTTATTGCCAAATTGCGATTGTGACGTGCGTGCCTTGAACTTGTGCAGTGCCTAGATCATGCAAGGAGCTCCAAAGCTGTACCAAGGGCCCTGCTCTGGTCGACCTTCGCCTGATCATTGCCAGGATCCGAAAACTCAGTAGTCACTGGGCTCAAGATTACAAAAGTGGGGCATGCAAAGAGTTGAGATAGTCTGCAACAGGGAGAAGCGTAAGATCCTGGTCTCCTGCAACCTGCAACCAAGCCTTTCCCAACACTCATGACATCGAACATCTCCAAGCATGCTAACATGCTGGGAGGGCCGATTTAAGGACCGAGGGCCGATTTAAGCACCGAGGTGATTTGACGCAGACTGCGAGCAACGCTGCCAGAGCCCTTTCAAAACTGAGCCAGCTGCTGACCAAGGAGAGTCTTGCTTGGCTCTGTCACCAAGGCGAGTGTGGTGCGGGAAGGCAAGGAGAAGCTGGTTCGGCGAGAGGTGGCCTTGGCGCAAACACAGCGCATGAAGGAGAGAAACCCGAAGCTTAAGCTTGCACATGCATGCAAGCTATACACATCATGGCTGTGCTGTGTAGGGGGTGCTGTGCTGCCAGCAACGCATTTGCGCACATAGGAGCTGTTTGACCAGTTCGACGCAGACAAAGATGGCTGTTTGTCGCAGCTGGAGGTCATCGAGTACTCCCAAGGCGTGTTGTTTGCACATGGGCCGAATGTAAGAAATGTACGCATCAGCATCAAATCTTTTAAACCACACACACACACAGCATCAAGAGCAAGCGCTCGGAACCGGCAACTCGGTGGGCAACCCTGAACTCACCCTAACCCACCGTACGCAAAGAAGCAATCTCACTTGACCAACCCCAAACCCTAGCCGTGCGCTAAGCTTGCCATCAACCAACCCTAAGCCCGCCTTCAACCCATCCTAACCCAACCCTAGTTTCAACCTTAACCAAATTCAAAGCTACTTGAATCCCACCAATGTCGAAGGCGAGTTTGACTTCACGCCGCCGGAGTCCTGCATGGTCTTTTGCCTTGAAGTGGACTGCGTAAAGATCATGCCACCTTGCCCCGAGCGATTGCAGTTGTCCAACACGTGGCCCGCTGAGGAGCGACTTTGGAGAAACTTGGTGCCGGCAGGACCGCCAAACAGCTAGCCAACATGTGTCAAAGCACACAGCATCATTCTGACACTTATTCAGAATCGCAATGTGTGTATAAACGTGGGCAAACACACGGCCCTCGCCACTGTCAATTGGACTCTGGCAAATGTTGGTCCAGGGGTCGATGTATCAACTGGGTCCCCCCATCCGCTCCTCAGCTCTGGTTGAAATCTGCACACTGGGCTTGGCCCTTTCCTTCGCTGAAGTCATAGTTTCTTTGGTGCTGGAAGTTGGCAGCTTGAACCTCAAAAGTGGACACAGAGATGCACCTCCATATACTGTATGCTTTGCGATTGGGCTGCATCTTGCTTCTTGACAAGGCTGAAAGAAAAACCCACATCGTGGCCTTGGCATGCGGAACCTTGCTCGGTCAAAAGTCGGAAGATCGGGGCACCGGGAGCAAACGACGTCGCTGGACCATTGGAGTGCTAAAAAACCGTTCTTTCCATTTGGGAAGCTGGATTGTCTTCAAAACCATGCATTGCAGGCAAAGCTGGCATCAGCTTCGATTGCTTCCTGCAGATGAAACTCACCATCGGCACGGCGCGTGTCGTGGAGAAGGATTCACTTTGCCACGTTGTTTGAGATCAATATTTGGACAATGATTCACTTTTTTTTTGCGTTTTCGACCTTGCAAGGAGAGACAAACCACTCAAGGCAGCGCTTGAGGCCAGACACGGCGCGCAGTGGAAAGGTGTGGAAAGGTGTGGAAAGCATGGCAATAGCGCTCTGTCTCGACCAGGCAGCAACTCTGAACTTCGGAGCGTGCTGGTGTTAATGGCGATTATGAGTAGGGGAGTTGGCGAACAGTTGCTTGACATTGGAACCAATGTTTGCGGCGTTTTGGTTTGCTCCATCCGCTTTTTAGGCGTTGCAGTATCGCAGTCAAGAGCTGCAGTTGGCTCGGAGGGGCGGTGGCATTAAGCTTAGGGCCAGGAGGAGTCTTTGAGATGAGTTGGGCGGCATGACGCGATTTGCCAACAGGTTGCGTGAGTTTCTTCTAATGCATCCACACTGCGTCAGTGTTGCGCAAACCGTTTGCTTGTTACCACATGCACGCATGGTAGTACGGTGACTTTTCCATGCAGCAACGAAGCCTCGCTTCAAATCTCACCTGCGTCGTATCCACCGTGGATACATTGCGCATTGCAGCTCAACATCCAGATGGAAAACAGCGATCCAGAGAGAGAGAGAGAGAGAGAGAGGGAGAAAGCTTACATGCTGCAAGGAGCTCCCTGGCCTGGCTTGAAATTGGCCGGGCCGTGTAAGAACATCTGAACTGCAGGTGCCTATGAAGTTCCCGCTTGCATAGAATGGAAAGAATCAAGCCCCAAGCATATTCAAAGCCTTCCCCTCAAGAACCTGTGCTGCCACCTGGCAAACAGACTTTCGACTTCACTGGTGGAGCGGCGGCATTCTGGCAAAAAAGTTGAACAGCAAGGTGTTTTTTTGGTTGTTTTTGCAGCTGGAAGCACGTAACATGTGGAAACCTGCTTATCAGTGACGCTTTGCTGATCCCGCCCAAATTCGGGTTCTTTGGCGTGTCGCGTCCAAAACGTTGAACTTGAGCGTTTCTGGGCGGACGCATGACAGGTGAGACTCTCTGGTGGCCGGGGCCACGTTGGCCCGCAAGATGGCCAAAATTCAACCTTAATCATCCAGACGCGCTCGCAAATGCTTCACCCCATAGACCTTCGACCTGCTCACGGGGCACTTAAAAACAAACTGTTTTGCAACGTTCTCGCCGCGTCGAGCCAAACGCCCGAAGTCCGGCCAAAGCGCTCAAAAATAGTTTTGACCGCGTCGAGCCGGAATACTTGAAATTGCAGTAAAACCTCATTGCTAAGTAGGTTTCCACTGTTTTCACTTTTGCGCGCATCCATCAAACAACACAGTGGCTTTTAAATGTCGCCAAGTTGGGCCCACCTTCCCCTGCCGGGCACCCCCCAAAAACGCTTGATTTTTGTTTCCGGACAATTTTTAAACATCACACAGACAATTTCGCGCAATTACCAGAATATAATCACGTCGCTCACCCACCTTTTGAACATTTCACGTATGAAGCCCTTTTAGTGGATCAAAAAGAGATCACTGCGCCCTCTAGCTTCGAGGGTTATGAGCCCAACGCAATGAGCGAGGGGAAGATGTACACACCCTCGGAGAAGGACCTCCTGCTGGCCTTGATCGAGGAGGTCAAGCCGCCGGAGGGGCCTCCGCAGGCTCTGGTCAACCCATTTTGGTCGGAGAAGGCAAAGGATGAAGCCCTGCTAAGGCCATGAGGCCGAGCACGCTCCCTGAGGACCAAGGTGGTGACGCCCAGGTGGTCGCGCAGGTCCAGCCTGCCCCGGGAGATCACAGGCTGTCTTCCTTGACGACTTGGCGAAGGTGGTTGGTGCGGGTGACGGAACTACGCATTCAGCCTCCGGATCCAGTTCTTCTTTTGGCCACCCTGGATAAGTTCGCGGTGGTTCTGGGAAAGATCTCTGCCCAGGTGTCGTTCAGGCTGCAGATGGCCCACCTTCGCCACAGGGAATCTTGCAGTTTGCGGACACGCTGCAAGCGGCCGAAGCATGAGGTTTACCAACGTGTCCAGATGCCCTCTGACTCATCGACCCCAAGAGTCAACCTGCGAACAACCAACACTTGGAGCATGAAAATCTGGAAGGACGCAACGCAGTGCAACTACAGGTTTCTGTAGTACGGAGTTCTACCTACAAGCTTTTGTCTACACTGAAAATAGCGCTGCGCCGCAATGAGACAGATATCCAAAAACATTTGCTTCTGAAACGGGGGAGCCATGTGCCAAACATTTTTGTAGGGGGCCCTTTGTTTGCAGTATAGAATACACTTGTTAGTAAAGCAAAGGCTTGGGCACTGCAACCATCCGCGTGGCCTGGAAGAGGAACAACACCAACGCGCCCAACAAGGGTTCCGTGTAAGTCAATCTGCTGCTTTGGGTCCATCCACCAAAAACAATAGCCAATAACAGGTAACAGCAGGAGTTGAACACGCGCAAAGTTTGTGTTAGAGCATCGACACTACAGAACACATGAGCGACTGGCGTGCCTGTCTCTTGCAAACCTAAGAACCTGTGAAGCAGAACGGTGCTGGCCTTTTCCACCACAGAGCACGGGAAGATAACGTGCTTTTGAAAGATACCATCAGCTGGCGCTGCCAGTGCCTGTGGTTTAGGTACAGGGCAATGTTCTGCACTGCAACAGGACACAAATCCAAGCGTTTGTTGAAAAGCACTGTCCAGCGCATGACCAGCTGGGCATTCTGTGCACATGAATTAGCCGGCTGGGGCGGACCTGCAAAGAAAAGCGGCGGTGGCTTCCGCCCCACAACGGCCCTTGCGCTGCTGACCGCGCGGCCCGTGCTGGCAAAGTGCCTAGTGTCAATCAAAACTGCAAGTAGCCTGATGCAGGTCCAGCACACCGGCAAGCCCCCAAAAATGAAAAAAGGTATGCCTCCAGAAGGCGCACGCTCCTTGTACGATGACGAATGCAGCCCACACACCCCAGCAACAAAACCAGTCATAGATTGAGAAACTCTGCTTGAAGACTAGGGCGGTGCCTTTATAGATCGATAAAGCCTACTGACAAAACAAGCCATCTGTTTATAGATTGACAAGCTGGTGCGCCAGAAAAACAAGACAACGTTTATAGATTGATAAACATCACGTGTCTTGGAGGCAAACTTTATCAATCTATAAACCCTAGGTCGGTTTCAGTCCCCAAAAATTATCAATCTGTAAACCCTAGGTCGGTTTCAGCCCCAACAAGTTTATCAATCTACATACCCTGTGAATTGCCAGGCACAACTTGATTTTCTGCCTGACCCAGATCTGCGAACCAACCCCAATCTTTGCATTGGCTGGAGGCTTTTTGGGCGACTGTCAGCTCAAATCCGTGCGCGCGCGGTCAGCGCCGATTCCATCGATTTGTAGCCTTCAGCCAAGTCACCACGCACACACACACTCACACACACAAGCCAACCAGTTCCAGAAACATTTTGTGAGACATGAACGAGGCACACTTTTTGCCACAGCCATCAGAAAATGCAAATGGATTTAGTTGACCTGTTCTCTTGGCTGGGTAGTGGGCTGGAGGCGGCGGCGATGATAGAACTCCCCCGTCAAGCCACCAAAGCTCGATGATGATGAACGCTCCCCCTGCCAAGCAACAGTCCATCGCAAAACGCGCTAGCGGAAAATCTGGGAGCCGCGCTCCGGTGATGGCATAGTGCAGAGTGTCGGCCATCTTCACAACCTGGCGCCAAAGCTCGGCGCTCAAGGTTTGATGTCAGAGCCCCCAAACGATTGGGCCAACACAGCCACACGCATAGAGATCAAAAAACCACAGCGCAGTGCCCGTGTTCTTCTTGTCATCTGAGAACGAGGATCCACGTCCCGCACGCCTGCGGGCCTTGTTCCGTCCACTTCCTGGCCTGAGCAAGTGTGCTGGGATTGCTGGACATGCTGGGCAACCTCAAATCCGACAGGCTCTAAGAGTTCAACGCCTCTACACTGTAAGGCCTGAGCTCCCACCGTGCCATCGTTGCTCACGAAGCGATTCCCGATGTAGAACCAATTGCCCTTGCTATCAGGGCGGACCAAAACAATGCAGAGCTGCAATCAAGAGGGATCGCAATGAAGACAGGTTTCAGGTCATGACTGCTCGGAACTCCCAACTTTGTCCAGGGCGCTTTGCCACCCCCACCATGACTGCCTGCAGTCAGCAGAACATCAGCTAAGCGTGAAAGCATTTGATGTCGCCTGATCTGCGACCTGCGGTGCCGGCAAAGGCGGTGGCGGCGGTGGCAACGGGGCAATCGCCTGGCAGGCGGTGAGCAATTTCGAGAAAAATGAAAGATCATCAGAGCGACCTCAAGTCAGCCTTTCCTGACGCAAGACTGCTTCACGGCGCTGTCAGCAGGGCGAAGCAGCTCGCTCAGATGCCGAGAAGACATGCTGGGGCAGGCGAGCCTTCTGGTCAGCCTTCTTGACTGCTTCCTGGAATGCTGGTTCCTGTAGCGCTCAAAACTGGAAGGCGCCAAGAGAGTGTTGTTGGTGTTCTTTTTTGTGGCTTTCTCCAGTAAAAAAGAACGCCCGACACGCCCAGAAAGGGGGGGTTCTTGGAACAGTTTTGAGCCCAGGAAAAGGTATCGTTGGCATTCTCTTTTCAATCAAATGACGTCCACCATGCGCAAACACTTTGCGGGGCTTGTTTGGGACGTGTGTGAAGGACCAGCCCCTATGTCTGGCAGAAATTATTGAACGAGCTGTCACTGTGTAATTCTCAATGGTCCGAGTTCGACGTGTTTAGAAGGTGCAGAAACGAATGGCTGCTTATCAATCAAAAACACGCACGGCGAGCGAGCGCCTTCTTCTTCTTGTTCGGCTTCGGCGCCTTCTTGGGACGCAAGTCCAAACTGGCCTGCCAGCAAGGCCCATGCGTAACAAGCTGCCAAAACAGAATCCGGTCTTGCCTTGCGACCTTCCCCATCCGCCTGTCCGAGCCAGCCGGGCAATGAAAACAAACGACTAAACAAGGGGGCTGTGTTGGAAAAGCACGACGTAACATGTTTGTGCAACACCCTTGTGCGGAATTGAGCGCGAGGCATCTCGCACACGCTTCCGCTTCGATTGGCCCTCCTGGCTGCAGCACACTGGCAGGCAAGCTGTTGGCCGTTGATAAACATCCAAAAACACGGATTTTCAGGCAAGCGCGCCTCATGATGCTGGGCAAACGCGTTTTCACACGCCTCCTCATCATTTGCCAAACACGAAACTGTTGATTGCACAGTCATGACGGAAGCGGGCCAACCTGGCAACAACGTGCAGCACCCGTGGGCCATGGGATCGCGCAGGCCGCGCTTCTGGAAGTGCCAGAACTCCAGGTCCTGCGCGGGCGGGCGGTGGCTGGTGCGGCGCTTGCTTGGATGGTGCATCATGAGCGCAAACACGCTTGAGTTCGGCAAACTTGGGAATGGGCCCAACATCAATTGCGCATATGGACAAGCACATCCAAGTGAGCATGACAGGTGGCTCCTCTTCCACAACGCCGGGAATTGAGAAGACAAGTCTCAGAGCCATGGCAGAATCAGGATTGCAAAGCGCGTTGGCTCGAAGAGGCTGTGGCGGCAGCAACGTTGAGTCGTGAGGTTTGGTGCAAAGCGCGCTCTCGCTCCATGGAAAACGCGCAAGAGATGGTGTTTTCTTCCACCAAAACAAGTTGAGTCCTTTGCACACAGGGCTGATGCAAAAATCAAAAATCCAATCATCCATCCAACTCCTGTGACTCTTCCACTGGCTGGCTGCCGCTGCCACCTTGGGAAGTTTTGCGCTTTCGCTCAGTGTTGGGCAAGGAAGAAATGATGCCCCGCCGGACATGCTCAACATTCTCTTTGGTCAACTCAAGCCACAGAGCGCTCCCTCGAACGACCTTTCGAGCCTCCAATCTTCCGTGGTCACCGGAGGTAGCTCTACCTCCACTGAATGTGGGGCCAACGAAGCGTGCCTCATGCTGGCCTTCTGTTGTGATTTCTTTTTGGTCTTCGGGAGCTCAGCTTCGTCGTCAGAGACATGTCGCTGCAGCTACTGCAGCGTTGCATGCCTTCTGGCGCCCATCCAGCAAGTCGGCCATGAACATTGTGTCCACACTCGCCCCCTCCTTGTCGCCTCGCAGGTCAAGCGACTTGCCTTGACAAAAATGGACGAAGCCGCGATCCCACTTGCTGAAGCAGAACCACACCTTGCCGCTTTCTGTCTTCTGGCCAGGGATCCACATGCCCTGCTTCCCGCGGGCCTCTGTGTAGCGAATGACGGCCTGGGTTTCCAAAACGACTGCCATGGCCAGCAGCAAATGGTAAGGATGTCGCAATCTAATTATTTCCTATTTGTGGTCGACCTGTCAGCTACACACAAAGATTAGCTGATGAAGAAGGTTGCTTGCATGGATCGTCGTGCGTCCTACAAGCGAGCAAGTGGAAGCCCTGCTTTGCGGACTGTCTGGCGTTTCATGGAGTCCAGCAACTTTTGAACCCTCGCGCTGGCAATCAAAATGCACTATCACTATACGCACACCGGCTATAGGATTGCCCATGGAGCTCACACTTGAGATGCCTTCCTCTTCTTGTCGCCAGGCTGGGCACCCTTCTTTGACTTCCCTGAAGGCGATTTCTCCATGGGGGCATGCGTGACCTTGCGCTTCTCTTTGAAGAACAAGAGCTTTTCGCCGCGCTTGATGGCCTTGCTGTTTCGGAAGCACGGCGTCTTGAGTGTCGAGTCATGCTTGCCCTTCACCCAGATCAACTCCATGTTGGCCATGTCCTCGTCTGGCGTGGCCCGGACCTGCCAAAACGGGTGCAGGAAGCTATCGTCGCCTTGCTCTTGTGGCAGCGCCGTGTGAGGCACAACCCAAAACTTTGCCTCATCCGCCATGTCCGTCTGCACCTCCCAAGTGTTGGCAGGAACCTCCTGAGCACCAAGGCGGTGGCCAACCTTTGGTGTTGCGGGGATGAGGGTCAGCTTGCCCTTCTGCGCGTTGGCTGCGCATAGGAGGGCCTTCGATGGCTTCAGCTGCAGCTGCAACTGGTCCCACACCTGGCCATCAAACCTGTCTGCCATGTCTTGGAGCTCAAGGAGGATGGACGCTGCCTTGGCAGCAGCACGAAACCTCAATGACTTGCTGGGCATGCTGTCACTGCCTCGGCTGCGGCCTTGGGCTCAAATGTCTGCCATTCACTTGACAAGAAGGACGCGCGGGGCACTTTGAACATGTTGCCATCGACCTCAATCTTCACCTTGTTGGCATTGCGCAGAACCTCGTTGATCTTTCCCTCAACCCTGTCGGACTTACGCCGCACATGCCCTCCAACCTCAAAGCCAAGCTCGCTCAACATGGAAGCCGGGTCTTTAAAAGATCCGTCCTCCTGGAGCACTCGCATCATCCCCCGTGTTTGCTGGGGACGGCTCCTCATGATGCTGCGCTTGCGCGTGCCATCGGCGTTTCTTGCCCCGTCACACTGCGGAGAATCAAAACATAGTCGCGAGCAATGGCACCCATGGACTCGTGCTTCTTCTCATTGGCACGTGAATGCCATGTCAGTGAAGCTGAGGGCCAAAAACAAACGCGGGTCCTCGTCGACAAAGTGCTTGGTCTAGACCGCAGCTCTGCCATCAGGCTTTCGGCCTCAATCAGCTTTGTGGCCAAGTCGGTGGCGAACATCCTCTTGGCAGTCTCCTTGGTCACGCACTGCCGGGCGTAGGCCAGCTTGATGATGGCATGCCGGAAACGCGCCAACGCATGCCCTGCAAGCTTGCCGTCCTGCCCCAAGATCTCCTAAAGCTCAGTGCCAAGCTGCCTGTTGCTGGCGCACTGCTGCCTATCGCGCCATCAGAGCCCCCGCACGCTTTGAGCGTAAATTGGTGCATTGCGGGGACTGATTGGGTGCGGCTGGCTTGGATGCCAAGGCCTTCTTCTTGATGGCGGCAAAATCTGGTCTGCGAGCAGCAGCCTGGGTATAGAGGCCAATGGATCCGCCGCAGGACCTGAAGCTCATGCTCTCCACGTTGCAACAATGCGTTGCCATATTGTTGCAGCATCTGCAGGAAATTTGGGAAACTTGCGGCCACTTCCTTTGCCAACACCCGCCATGTGACTCCGTCTGTGACAGCCTCATACAGCTTGGAGTCCCTGGCCTTGATCTTGGCTAAGGAGATTCGGCCATCCACACAGATCAGGTCATTGTTGTGCGGAAGCTCATCTTTGCACACACGCAGCTCAAAGTTTGCGTGGGACCCACACAGGGTGACCGCCTTGAGCTTGTTTGGCTCCAGGGCGACTTCACAAGCCACTGCGCACTTTCTCAGAAATGAACCCTACGCCGACAATGCTGTCGAGCAAGTCGTAGACGTCAATGGAGTTGAGACCATACCCGTCCCTATTGGACGGGTGAACCCCCACCAGGTCAGGCGCAAGCTTCACATGGTATCGCGGCTCTCTAAGAAGGCAAGCGCCTTGTGCACCGTGGCCACCAACCTATCTCCATCTGATGCTTCCGCAAGAAGCTTGGAGACATGCTCCTGCACGTCCAGCGGCACGCCCGCCATTTGCATGCAGGAGGCAAGGACAAAACAAACACGCGCAGTTGCTGAGCAGTCTTGTGAAGCAATGCATGCTTTCAAGCAAAGGCTGTCAGCGAGAATGACCCTGCCAACGCCTTGCAAAACTCGGTGGCGTTCGTGCTGCAAGCAAACCCTGCATGGCATCAGGCGCTGGCTGAGACCAAATGTGCATCGCATCACGCCGCAGCCGCGCTTCATTTCTTCACATGCATGTGCACTTATATTAGTTGACTATGTTACACTATGTTCCATAAGTACACATGTGTAAGTTCCGTATGTACATAGAGCACTTGCTTGCCAATACATATATGTGCGTAGCAAGTGTCGCAGCTATATAGCAAGTTGTATACACACAACTTCACACTTACTATCTACATGAGCCTTTTTGGCACGCTTGTTGCAAATATAAACTTACTTGCAAAACATATAACCTTATTTGGACAAAATATTATGTTGGCGCATCTGCTCTAAGCAGATACTAACCAGGTGGCCTCTTTAAGCATTGAGATCCATCAACATTGCTACGCGCAGAATGGGGTGGCGGCGCGACCTACCCACATTCAGGTCCCGGAAAAGAAGGAGAACCCTGCCCCGGCTCTGCGGAGGGTGCGGGAAGCCCAACGGCTGCTGTGGCTCTCTGGGAAGACTAGGCCGGATCTTGCGGCGGCGGTTCAGAGGATGTCATCAAAGGCGACGAGAAACCTGGAGTGGGTACTGGAGCTTGGAGCCACTCGCGTCGTGGGGGAAGAAGCTGGTCTACGCCAAGGAGGTGCCTGTGGATGACGCCCCGGGAGGCTGGCACCTTGTGGTGGATACTTTGTTTGGGAGGAGCAGCGCAGCGTCACGGGCATCATGCTGCTCTTCGCGGGCTGCCCGGCGCAGCAGTCAAAGAAGCAGTCCTTGGTGGCTTTGTCTACGGCGGAGGCGGAGCTGACGGCACCTCGCGAGTGGGGCTACGGTGCGTGGTTTGAGTGGTACGGTGATTGGACGGACGCTTGCGGTGATCGCTGGGGCAACCGTTGGGAAGAACAAGATCAGAGGGCCTGGAAGAGCCGACGCCGTGGGAAGTGATTGCTTCATGTCATTGGATCTACGATGTGTTCGTCAGATTTAGCATGCAAATTCAAATTCCTTTTCGTCATACGCATAGGTCTTGAGCAGGCCGTCGTTTGGCTGCGAGGCGCCTGGCGCTGTAAGACCTCATGACTTTTGGGTTTATGTTTAGTTCTGTTTGCATCCAAACCCTTTGTCCTCATGTTTCATGTTAAAAAAAATAAGCCCGAACGCGTGAAGGTTCTCAGTAGCGTTGCGTTGATCTCCCCGACGCGCACGGCTTAAGGACTTGGCCAGGATTTTTCTTGTACTCGTTTGAATGCTGATACCCGCCGCTGTGCCGTCTCAAGCTTTGTTTTGGCTTTTCTTCCGCCTGTGACTGCCAGCAGTTCAGGACTGAAGAGGGTTGTTGAGTTCCAAGAGATGATGGACACATGAGCAACTGAGCGTATTGCCATTCATCTTGTTTGGTTTGAGAAGGCCGCCAATTTACCCATCAGGGGACGTATCCCCTCGCTCAACACGTCATGCAATCTCACAATGCAGCGGTGTTTCGAAACGCTATGAGGACATGCGCAAGGCAGCAAACACTCAAATGTACTTCGCAGGAAGCAACAATATTATTAATATTTTTGAATTCGAACTGTTTTGTGTATGACCAGGCATTCCCCCCCCAAATTTTTGGATCCCTTGGATCGGAGGATCTTTTGCCTTGGCCATGAACATCGCACGAAATGCGACTGCCTCAGGAATTGAAGCCATTTGCATTATCAACTAAGCTAATTCTTCATGTGCACAACGAGTCTACCGCATGAGTCGCAGTCGGGCACCTACTGTACAAGCCGCAGAGTTGGACCAATGTTGCGAGGTGGTCGGCAGAATGCAAAGGCCTGATGGTGATCCGTTGATAATCTTGTGCGCGGCAACAGCGACAGTTCCCTCTTGCAACAAATTGCACGGGCCACACCCAACCTGATATGTTGACCTGCAAATGCGTCTAGCAGCGAGCGCTTGCAGGGCGCATATCTCATTCATCCACGATCTCCCTTCAATGCGCCCCCGCTCAATGCAATGCCCTACGTTTGGCCTTTTGTCCCTCCCCTGGCCTGTGCTGGACCAACTATGCCGTTGCAACATCCTGAGTTACATTGTAACATGCTTCATCAAGCAATTTTGCCCGCCATGATCTGAGTTGCTTGATCTTGCAGGCAATGCCGGACTGGCGGTTGCAGCCTCTGGCATGCACGTGGCATGTCTGCAGTGGCAGGACGCATTTGTTGACGCCGTGATACGCCGTGTGTTGTTTCAGGATGCTGTTTGTTTGGCGACGCAGTCAGGGTGGTCGGGGTGCTGTTTTGGGTGCTGGCAAGGGTGCTTTTTGATGTGCTCAGTGCTGGTCAGGGTGCGGGTCAGGGTGCGGGTCAGGGTGCGGGTCAGGGTGCGGGTCAGGGTGTGGCTCAGGGTGCGGGTCAGTGCTGTTTGGTGTCCAAGGTGGTGCGGTGGTTGCTGCGTGCTTGTTTGGCGACGCAGTCAGGGTGCTGGTGAGGGAGCTGTTTTAATTTCGCATGCTATTTGCGTCTATGCTGGCGACCTGGTGTTTTTTGTTTCCTGCCTTGGGAGACAGGCAGTAGAATGAAGGTTGTGTTTGTCCATGTCAGCTGTTGTTATCAGACGCTTTGCCGGCTGTGACGCATGAGTTGCTGCAGGAGCGGAGCTTTCTAATCTTCCACAAAGGTTGGAGGAGCGAGACCAACGTGAGGGTCGGGCTTGAGCGCTTGCACATTTGAATGTCAGTTGTTTGGTGTCCCTACTGCGGTTTCATTGCGGTTTCCTGTTGAACCCATTGGCTTCCTACTGTAGTGTCAACAAGCAAATTGCACTTAAGCCTTGACTATCTGCAAGTCAATTGGGAACGGACATCAACCCCTCTTTCGATGTTTGAACAGCAAAATAGGAACATTTTTTGAGGCAACCATCACTTCGTCCTCTCCCTGGTATCTCCCAGGTTCTGCTAACACTTGAGAGCACCTTTTCGCTATTCAGCTTTGAGGAGCTTGCACTCCCCACCAAGCGGCGCATTGAGGAGGCCAAGGTGGGACAAGTCAGCTCCGGAAGTGCACAAGAGCAGAGCAGTTGTGGAATCAGGAAGAGACGCAGAGTTAATATTTACATATGTCATTGATCTCCAATGAAGTATACTAAGCGAGTAGAAGCGCACTTGGGGCTGGTAGAGCGAGAGCAGCAGATGGCCACGTATTCCCCAGTTGTGCAGGCCTTGCATCCAGCATTCTATACTGATGCATCCTATGTTGGAAGCCTGGAGGGATGTGGAGGGCCATGATTTTGGGCGTGAGAACTGCAGCATACGAGCAGTAGACGTGGGAGAGACGTTCTCCGCATTCTGAGGCGCAGACGGAGCGAGAGCGAATCTTCGGGATGAATTGGCTGCCTGAACCAGCGAACTATGTCACCATGTGAAAGCTTGGTTTGTTGGAGCCAAACCTGCACCTACAGCGGGCAAGATACGAAGCTTGTTGCTTCTCAAGTCTCATCAACGTGCCATCTGCACGCATAGGCATTTGTGCAGCAGGTCCAGGTTTGGGCGAGAGAGCCAGCCCAGGTTTGCAGCTGCCCATGTTCAGGAACTGTCGAGCCCTGGGGATGTTCGAGTCATCGAGGCGTGCAGCCCAAACATCTCTTGTGCCCAAATGCACATGCAGCACCACAGGTGGGCAAGACATCTATCATCTTGACGCGCGACAAGAACCACAAGCTGCATGCGTTCTACAACTCGTGCACCATCTCAGCCAATGGTTTTGCAGGTTGCCGCGTTCCAATCGCAAATCAGGGAACCCTAAAGGGTTCACAAAAAGGAAAAAAAACGCAAGGCACCAGTTTGTTGGAACCAATTGAGGGTCACCCAAGTAAAGCTTCTGCCTGGCAAGGTGCCGGCATAGAGGAGCTCGAGTGTGCTCCACCGGAGCAACCGGGTGCAAGCAGCTAGTCAAAGGCTCAGCTGGCTTGGTCAGGCCTATCTCGAAAATGCATTCCTCAGCAACACCCTGTAGAATGGTTGCCTCTAAATCTTCGAGCGGGCAGTGGAAGGGGGTAAGAAGATTTTGCTGAAATGCAAGGTGTGCCCGTACCATTGGTGGGCCTACCGTCTGGACGGCTCCCTGAAGTCAACACCTCCAACTGCAATGCCAAAGGAGTGTCTGCCTTGCAGGGTGATGCCGGAAGCATTGGAAGCCGAGTCGATGAGTCGATGCGCCCATGCGCCGAGACGATTTGCCAGGAGCGCAAAGAGGAGTTAGGTTTGATTCGAGTTCCGGGCCTGGAGACCTTTGCAGGCGGGGAAATCATTTCCACACCAAGTTTCTGCGTATCCAAGCAAAACTTGTGGATGATGCACGCCGTTGAGGCGCCAGGATGCGTGGGTTCTGGCGCCTGTCACAGCAGATTGACCACATCCGCACTCTCCACTTTGCTCGTTCTCTATTGGAAGACAAAGTTAACTTTCAAAGCGCAAGCGCCATCTCTCGAACCTCCAGTGGGCTGGCCGACTGAGTGATTTTGGTCAACCGCCCCGGCCATATCCCAATTGTCGCTGTCGACCTTGTAACTCGAACTATGAGCGGCAAAGGCGAATGAAGCAAGCGCAACGTATCACTGGGTCGGAAAAGAAAAACAAAACCGCGCCTTATCGTTATGTAAGGGACAATTACGTAGGGTTTGGGGGGGGCCCCCCCCACTCAGGTACCGCGCGGCAATTTGGTGACGGTCTGATAAAAATAGTCTTGGAGGAACAGGGGGTCCCAGGCTCGAATCCCCCTGCCGCCTCTCTGCCGGCTCGGGTTTTGCGCTTCCTCTTGCTGAAAACCATGAACACCTTGAAAAACTCAGTGTTGTTTTGACATCCTTTTTGCGAAAACGTTGACAACTACCGTGTTGTTCGAGAATTTCGAGGGAAATGCACATGAAGGGGCAGTGCCCGGACATCGAGGCAACTCAGGGGGGACGTGATGCTGCAATGCATAGAGAGAGAGAGAGAGAGAGAGGGAGAGAGAAAGAGAGAGACAGAGAGAAAGAGCGAGAAAGAGAGAGAGAGAGAGAGAGAGAGAGAGAGAGAGCGAGAGAGAGAGAGAGAGGGAGAGAGCGAGAAAGAGAGAGAGAGAGAGAGAGAGACAGAGACAGAGCCAGAGTCAGAGAAAGAGACAGAGAAAGAGAGAGGTAGAGAGAGAGAGAGAGTGAAAGACAGAGACATAAAAAGACAGAGAGAGAGAGAGACAGAGAGAAAGAGCGAGAAAGATGTCAAACTACATGCTTTACTTCTTGCACTTTTTGCATGCATGTACACTACTGCAGGACTTGAGCTTACTACGACTGCATTAGTGAAAAGGTTGGCAGCTGCAGACTACATTGGTTTATGTTTGTGAGAACACTACAGCATTTGCAATTGTAGCAAAAGTAACGACCAATTTTAACGTGGTAGCGGAGCTGAGATCCTAAACATAGGGGAGCTCCAGTATTCAGCAGTAAGTACTACAACCACTGCAACAGCAATCACATGCCAAACTACTACGACATGTCAGGAGAAGCAGCGTCAGCCTCAGCACAACAAACCACAGGAGCAGAGAACAGGCCAACAGCACAGTAGGAGCCACGACTACGGGAGCAGGAACAGAACAAGACAACAACGTTCAGAGACTACATCGATACAAACTGCCACCACCCTTCTTCACTGGTGACTACTCCCAGTATGAAGAATGGCTGTTCAAGCTACAAGCATACCTCGGCCTCATAGACCGAGACTTCGACCTGGTGCTACAACTCGCACAAGTAGCTACACGACAGATTAAGGACACAGACATCAGAACACACATACTCGACCCTACACAAGCAAGCAAAGCAGTAGACCTCTCCAGAGATCTACACTACATCTTCATCAACATCTGTCAGGGAGCAGCAGCTACAGGTAAGGCAAAACCGCTACAACGCAAATGGATGTGAAACTCTGCGACTCCTACACAACAGGTTCAGCCTACCAGTAGGAACAAGAAGCGTTGGCTACCTTACCAAGCTACTGGAACCTACATTCAACGAAGCGCAGTTTGAAGAGCAATTCCTACAATGGGAATACGACATCAACCGCTACGAGAAAGACAACAGCGCAGCACTACCAGATGGAATAAAAATCGCAATACTACTCAACAAGACCAAAGGAACACTGCAGCAACATCTCCAACTGCGAGCTGCACAGATCACAAACTACATCGAGATCAGAGCAGTCATCTTGGACTACTACAAGACGATTTCCGCCTTCTCAAGATCGACTTCAGCAGTAGGCGCAAACTACAATGGAGGAGCTGCACCAATGGATGTTGACAACATATATGGAGGAAAGGAAGAAACTACAAAGGCAAAGGAAAAGGCAAAGGCCGCTACAAAGGAAGCAAAGGCAAAGGCAAGTACAAGAGCAAAGGACACTACAAGGGGTTCGACAAAGGCAACAAAGGAAGCTACAACAAAGGAGGACGCAACAAGAGCAAAGGAAAAGGCTACCCAGGATCCAAAGGATATGGATCAAGCAAGGGCTACAAAGGCCAAGGACCTACTGCAAAGCAAAAGGAAAAGGAAGCAACAACTACATGACATGGCATGCCTGGCCATTGGGCACAGGACTGCAGAGTGCCGGTATGGCGCACAGGAGAAGGAAACTACATCCGCTAGAACAAGAGCAAGCAAATCAGGACAACAATGAAGAACTGCCTCAAGATCTGAACGACACCTGGGACTGGTACTACGAAGGAGAAGAAGGACAACACGAGGTAAACTACATGGAGGAGAACTGGAACGACTACAACTACGACAACAGCTGGGATTGGAATGACAACAGCTACGAAGACACAGCGAACTACATTGGAGGCATCAACGAGTCACACCTCACCATTGGACACATCAGACAAGCAAAGTCAATGCTACACAAACGCAAGTTCAAATCACTACTTGGCAAGAAAACAACACACGCAAATCATCGTGGAACGACCGCAGCAAGAGCTTTCAACAATTCCTCCAAGAAGACACAACACAACTACACTTCGACATAGCAGCAGCAACACAGCAGCAAAGGAACAAGAAGATTGAGGACACCATCACACACTACAACATGTACTCCAACTTCAAGTCATGCCATCGCCTGCTGATCGACTCAGGAGCATCTACACATGTTTGCCCGAAGGACTACGCTCCAGACCTACCGCTACGACCTTGTGGAGAATCAGTTCCACAACTCTACACGGTTACCAACAAGAAGATTCCTGTCTACGGCATCAAGTATGTTCCCTACAAGCAGGACAACTTCAGGACCATGATACCCTACTACGTTTGTGATGTGAAGTGTCCAATCCTCAGTGCATCAAGACTACTTGATAGAGGATATGGACTTGACTTCAATCCACGACACTGCACCATCACACATGGACCACAACAAGCGCACCTCATAAGACACTCAGGACTCTTCTACCTACGAGCAGAGAAGATCGACATCGCTACAGGATTCGCCATCTACCCAATGACTACAGACAATAGAAACCCATTGCTGTGATTCAACCTGCAGAGAAAGCAAAACAACAACAAGAACAGACCAAGGACTGCGACAGATCCTTGGCGGAAACACTGACTACTGGAAACTTGATGGTGACTACGCCATCAGAGTTCGCAAACGACCACGCAAAGCATTGTTCACACCACACAACAGTGGTTGCCCAACACCAGAAGAAGAACTAGATGATTGGCGACTAACCATCATCAACAGACACGGGCAAGAGCAAGAACAACTACAAGAGAACCCAACACAACTTTCCAAGCAAGACCTACAACGAAGGCGACAACTGGACTGGAGAAACCAGGTTCAGAAGAAAGATAACACCTACACTCCGAGCAACATCAAAGACCGCACCAACAAGGCAGAGCTCACAAGCACAACGGCTAACGGACACACCGCCAACCAGATCAAAGATCCAACTACGAGCGCCACAAAAGATATGGAGACCTAAAAAGCAGCACCTTCTATGGAGAAGTTTCACAACGCAAAGATGACTGGACAGTCATGGGCAACGCAGCACTACCATTTCAATGGAAAGGAACAACAAGGTTCACCGTGAAGAAAGACTACGAGTACGTCCAGGAGAACCACGACGAGGAACAACAACACGAGCATGATGAAATGAAGCACACAGAGCAAGAGGACTACGACAGCCAAAACAGCCAACTCCACAACAAATAGCAGAACACAATCTGACACACCTACCACACAGAAGCTGGTGTCCAATTTGCGTTCAAGGCAAAGGACGCCAAGACAAGAAGAAGAAGAAGGACTGGAGGCAAGGCTGGAGGAGCAAGCTCAGACCCAGCATTGTTGCAGGGCTGAGGTCTAAGCTGCTTGGCAAGTCCAGAGAGGAGGCCTTAGCAGAGCAAGTGCCTGTGGTTCAGAAGAAGGCTAAGGCAAAAGCAGGAGCTAAGAAAGTGAAGCTGGCCTCATTTCTGAAGCCTTCAGCCAAGACAAAGCCATCACTTGCCAACAAGCCTTCTGCTAAGAAGAAGTCTGCTAAGAAGCAAGCCTTGAAGACCTTGGCAGACAAGCAGCTGCCAGCTGTGAAGCCTCAGCAGGCCCCTTTGCCACCACCTTCTCAGCCACCACCTGAGGAGCAGGAGCAGGAGCAGGAGCAGGAGAAGGTAGGAGAATGGCTGGAGCAGAAGCTCATTTGCTTCTCAGACCAAGCTGGCAAGCTGAGGTTTGGAGTTTCAGGCAAGGCCACTTGCTTTTCTCAGGGCAGGTACTCCTTGCTCACAGCTTCAGGCACTTTCCTCATCCCTGAGGAGTGGCTGTGTCTGCTAAACAGCAGGCCAGACACAGCAGCCTTTGTTTGGCCAAATTTCAGCAGCTTGCAAAGTCAGAAGTGAGGGGCATGCTGAGCAGCCTGGCCTGCTCTCCAGTGCTTGTGCTGAGCATCATGGAGTTCCCAGCCCATGACCTCATTCAGTTCCCTGACCACAAGGAGCCACTGCTGGTTGAGGATCAGTGGCTGTGGGCTGGCTGGCACATGCTGAGATGGGGGCTGCTCAAAAGCACAAAGCAAGTGCCTGAGCACTTCTCAATCACCTGTGTGGACCCAGCTGTGCCAGCACTCCTGAAAGAGTTCCCCACTGAGATGTTTGAGGAACGGGCTGAGAACTTGAAGCAGGCCATGAGATCCTTCAAGAAGGTCTTCTTTCCAATCTTCAGCCAACCACTGGACCTTGCTGGTGGCTGAGAAAGAAAGCTTGGAGCAGAACTCAGGCTTCGCGTGGA